ATTGTATTTTGTTTATTACATAGCACTAAATATTAGTTTTAAAATATATATTATATATATATATAGATTTTACTTGAACATTTAAGTATAATTACAGATATGGAAGTCTTAAAGTTGTTACATGATGATGACTTTTTTATTTCATGCCGACAAATTCGTTCTATTTGAAAACCAATAAAAGCCTGCATAAATGTTTTGGAAAGCCGCTCAGCATCATTAGCTGATTGCTATATTTATATGATTAAATTAGCAATAGCAATCTATCAAGTCCCTGAATCAATCTTATTTAAACCTGCTGTAATTCAGGTTTTTAATAAGCGCTATGAGGAATTTCAGAATCCATATTATTTATTAAGTTACTACCTTCATCCTTTTTACCATGGTATTTTTTTAAAATTAATTACTACATAATGATAATAATCTTAATAATATACATACTATTTTTTATTTATTATTTATTCATTTATTCATTTATTTATTGTTTTTTTTTAGGATCAGGGCTTAAAAATGAAGCATTTCGCAATGCCGCCATAACTGCTTCTATTATATGGAAGGATTCAAAGCATACTGAACAAGAATGTACGGAATTAATTTCGCAGTTTCGATATTATGATGCAAAAAAAAAACTATATGATTTATCATATAATCAAGACCTTGATACTCCAATGTTATGGTGTGGAACCTTTAAAAGACAACCATGTTATCTTTCAACTCTTGGATTAAAGCTCTTTAGCATTTCGCCATCTCAGGCTAGCTGTGAACGGAATTTCTCAGTTCTTAAATGGTTCATTGGTGATAAACGCCTACGTCTTGATATTAAAAAGCTCGAAGAGATGACAAAAATAAGGTCATATATGACAAATGTTCGGAAAGAACTTGCTCATTATGAAGTTGAATTATCTGAATCAGAGCTACGTGATATAGTAAATCTTACATCAATAAATAGTTTTATTGAAGATGAAGAAACAAATGAAAGTATTAATATAGATGATAATCAAAATTCTTCAACTCGCACTAATTTAATATTGGAAGATATTATAAACTTAAAAGATCCAATTTTTCAAGAAAAAGATGGTATACTATACGAAGATTCAAATAATAATCCAAATAATAATAATGAAAATAGCATTACCGGAAATATGAATTTTAGCCCTGAAGATCTTGTTGATTCTATTTTGGATGATGAATTGGATTATTAGGTATAATATAGTATTTTTAGTAATTTAGTATATTCGAATTTATTAAATTATTCTTTTATTATTAGCAGGCATAAAGAATCGCTTACAGACTTAATCATTAGAGATTATTTGAGAAATCGCAGAGCATCAATTTTTATAATACAGTTATACGATATTTTTTTGCATATGTTAAAGATTTATTTGCAGATTACATTTATAGTGCAT